CTGCAGGGTTGGAACAGAAGACAAGCCTTGCTACCAGTTGATACCTGGCTCTCACACATGTACCATCTTGAGTCTCCTGAAGCTCTCCAAGGTGTTTCACACGCTCAATGTCACGGCCATCCACCCCGGAGGCGTCAACACCACCCTCCTGTCCTTTGTGCCTGATGAAATCAGTGAGTGGGGGCATGTGAGGTGGGGGTGAAGGCTATTAAAGGGTTCTTGCTCCTCTCTCCTCTCTCTACGTGTCCTCCAAACCTGTCCTCTCTATAATCTATGCAGATTCTGCCCACTACGTCCCCACTCCTCCTCCACTTGGTTCAGGCCTGGTCTCACAGCTCCTGGTCTTTGCCCTGCAACAGCTAGAGGGCGCACATGAGCATGGGAATTCGTCCCTGCTCTCTCTGCCACAGCCCTCCAGGGCAACAACTTTCCTGGAGTAAAACCCCAATTCCTCTCCGTGTGCAGGGGACCCCACACGCCCTGCCCCATTCTCTCCCTCCCCTCCTTATCTCTCCTCTTTTCATTTCACTCCAGAAACCCAGACTTCCACCCAGTTCCTCTAACTCGCCCATAGTGCCACAGGGACTCTACACAGGCTGCTCCCGCTGTCTAAAGGCTTTTCCCACAGGTATCACTTGACTTCCTCTGTACTTGCTGCAAGTTCTGTGTCTGCCTGGGACAGCACTGGACAGGCAGAGGGTTCTCAATACATAATTGTTGGCCGAAGGGATAAATGAAGGCCTTCTGCTTGTCCTTCAGTCAAACCAGACCCTCCAGTGATCGTCAGCGTGAGCCCCATTCTTGGGAATCATCTGGAGGTACAGTGGAATCCTCCCGAGTCTTGGCCCATGCCAAATGTCTATGGTCTCGCATACCAGCTTCGCTACAAGCTCTGCAATGCTAAGCACTTCCTGAAGGTGAGGAGCACGAAAGGGAGGGCAGAAAGGGGCCTGGAATGGTGCTGGGTTTGGCCACCCCGGTAGATGGGACATTACATTCAAACTGGGTAGGTTCCACAGGACTTGTGTGCACTTTGGGGTGACTGGTGTGTAATATAAAGGAAGTCAGCAATTTCACCCCAGCAGTCCACCCACCAGATGAGAATGCACCTCCATATATGGGAGTCCCCTGCTGGTCTCTTTGTGAGAGCCAGGAGTAGGACCTGCCCAGGGTCCATCAGCAGGTGGTTTGTCTGCAAAGAAGCATGAATCCCGTCTTGTTGCGATTGTTGACGCCACCACTTTGGTATCAACTCTTCATGGCCCTGTGTGTGCCCTCCCCATGCCACAATCACAAAAGTAATTTTACTCCCAGGAGTGTGCTCAGAATAACCGAAGGACTCAGACACATGCATGTGCATGTTCAGAAGAGCACGAGTCACGGTGGCTAATAGGTGGAAACAACCTGCTGTCCATTGAGCAGAAAGTGGTTTTACACAGCTCACTCCATTTATACAGAGGATTGTTATTTGGCCATAAAAAAAAATGAAGTCCTGTTATATGCTGAGGTCTGAGACATGACACCAAGTGAAAACAGCCAGATACAGAAGATGGATGGCATGCTCTATGAGTCCATTTTTGAGAAATATCTAGAGAAAGTAAACCCATAGAGACAGGAAACAGATGAAAGTGATAGAGCGAAAGGATGTTACTTTGAGGACTAAGGTGCACAGGACACAATTATGGGAATTCAACTGCCCCCTACGCTTGTGAAAGCTGGACAATGAATAAAGAAGACTAAAGAATCGATGCCTTTGAACTGGAGTGCTGGCAAAGAACATTGAATCCACCGTTGGGGTGACCAAAGTATGAACACATCTGTCTCGAGAGAAGTGCAGCTCCAATTCTTCTTAGAAGAAAGGATGGTGAGATTTCATCACACACACTTCAGGCATGGTATCATGAAGGGCCATTTCCTGGAGAAAGACATCATGTGTGAAAAACAGAAGGTCAGCAAAAATTAGGAAGACACTCATGGACATGGAGTGACACAGTGGGTGCAGCAATGGGCTCAAGTACAGCTGAAATGTGCAGGTGAAGGCAGACATTGGAGGATGAATAGGTTAGGAAGGGAAGAGCCCAAGGGCAGTGTGTGTGTGTGTGTGTGTGTGTGTGTGTGTAGTGATGGTTGGAATGAGGTCAGATCCCATAGAGGGGAGGACAGAAGGCTGCCTCATGCTCTGCTGTTAAGTCACCCATTCCTTCTCTTTTCTCAGACGGACCCCACTCTAGAAACCACCTTAATAATTAAGTTGGTGCAGCCACAGGGCCAGTACTGCATCCAGGTCAATGCTCAGCATCTCTTTGGCTATGGAGAGCCAAGTGAATGGAGTCCTTCTACCGTTTTCCCCACCACTCCAGGGAACTAGTTTTGTTTTTCCTCCCAGCACTCCCAAAAAAATGCTCATGCCACCATGCTGGCCTGGATTCGAGTTCCTGACTTTGCTGCTGTGTTACTGGGTTACCTCAGACCAGTGACTTTAACCACTGTGAACCTCAGTTTTCTGATATTCTTCCTCTATGACCCACAGTGGTGGACAGTGAAATGTGAATGTGAGTGTTTTTATCACTTTATTAAAAAAACAACAATTATAATTGAAATCCAGAGTTTTTCTCCTTTCATTCAGTGGACACGAATTAGAATTCACTGAACTCTCATACCTGGGCTCTGTCCTCTGGAAGCCAAGAGACACAACCAATTGCTGTTCTCCTGGGGTTAGTGCTGACCATGGGGGCTGGGAGCGAGAGACCTGGGGCTGGGGGAGCTGAGCTTGGAAGGTTTCTCTGAGGAGAACGTGGGGCAGCAAGGCTTTGAAATTCAGAGAATGTCCAAGGGCTTGTCAGCATTTCATTTATGTCCAACTCAAAGAGAGGCCAGTACAATAATGACACTCAATGATGTCCTTGTCATTGTCCTCAGAACCTGTATGAAAGGCAAAAGGGACTCTGCTTGGGGCGAGCCGTCATGGCCCTCAGGGTGAGCTCCTCAGTCCCCAGATTGTGCCATCTGACCCCTGGGTAGGAAAAAAAATGCCTAGGCTATCCAGAGAATTTTATCTAGGCTACTTTCTGCCACCCTCTCCCCCAGTAAACCTGAAAGCAACACCTCCAAAACCCCTCTATTTGTAACTCACAAGTTTGTTCTCTCTAGGTTTGCTCCCTTTCCTATAGGTAACCTTAACACTGAGTTTTACTTCAGACCTGACCCCAAACCCGGTGCCAGTGACAAAAAGGAAATACAACTGCCAGCTAAAGACGCAAAGGAGGATGGAGTCTCTGGGTTCAACCAGCCATCCCCACTGGACCCACCTGGGAAAACACTTTGCAGTCCAGAGGGGAGCAAATGACAGGAAAATATCTTCTAACAGAACAAGAAGGCAAGCAGCCTTAACCCAAGATCACCAGTAAGGTGATAAAGTGTCCTCCCTTTCCCCCTTCACACCAGCATCACTGTTCAGCATGAAGAAGCCAGAGAGTCGGCATCCAGTTCCCAAATCAATAAGACAGTTGATTTAGTTTCCACTGGAAAATGCTTGTCATTTTCCTGTAGCATCTGCTCCCCACTGGATCATTTTCATTTCCTTCACCTGCTCCCCCCACCAACCAATTTCTGCAGCTCTCTAACTGCATCCCTGCCCATCCTCACCCTTCTGCCCACAACCCTCACCTCCTTGTACCCCCAATATGTTTTTTCCCAGTTAAAAAAAAAGAAGTATCATCAATGGAATAGAATTGAGAATCCAGAAATCAGCCCATCTACCTATGGTGAACTGATTTTTGACAAGGAGATGAAGTCAGTTAGGTTGGGAAACGACAGCTTTTTAACAAATGGTGTTGGCAAAATTGGAAAACTATCTGCAGAAAACTCAAGCAAGATATACACCTCACTCAATATACAAAAACCAATTCAAAGTGGATTATGGACCTAAGACTAAAACCAAGGACTTTAAACTTCATTAAAGAAAAGAAGTCCTAAACCACAACATAAACAGTCTGCCAAGCATCCTAGAAATTCTACAACCAAGAAAGGATAAAATAAATGAATGGGATCGTCTAAGAATCAAATCCCTATGCATATGCAAAAACTTCTCCAACAGGGTAAAAAGGGAAGCCAGAAACTGGGAAAAATATTTGGTAGTGACATGTCAGACAAGGGACTTATATGTTGAATTTACAAAATACTCGAGCACCTTGTTTCTCAGGGAAATAATGAAATATTATGCAAAGTGGATGACCTGAGAAGACATTATGCTGTATGAAATAATCTCAGTCACAAAAGGACAAATATTGCCTAGGGCAACTATTGTAAAATAGGACTGACATTGGGGTTGGGGGAAGAGAGAGAAGAAAGGGAGGAATGATGTATCCTGCATTGGAACAGATGAGGGAGAGAACAGTTTAAAAGGGATATATGATTAAGTATTATTGTCATGACAGGAGTCTTGAAGGCTTTACAGTGTAGTGGGCTTGGGGGGAGGGATTGCATACCAATGAAAGAGTTTTTCTTTTACTCATCAAGGAGAAAAGTGAATTGGGGAGAGGGAGGTGATCAGGGAGAAAAGTGCAGCAATGAATGACTGGAAACCCTAAGTTGCTGTAAACATTAATTAAAATTAACAACAACAACAAATACGTAAGCACCACAGCAGGATAAAGGTAAATAACCCAAATGAAAAATGAGCACAGGATATGAACAGACACTTCACCAAAGAATGCATTCAGATGGCCAACGAGCACACGAAGAAATGTTCAAAATCCCTAGCTCTAAGAGAGATGCAATGCAAAGCAAAACAACTATGAGATATCACGTCACCCCAGTAAGAATAGCAACATTTAACAAAACAGCAAACATCAAATGCTGGTGAAGTTTCAGAGAAACTGGAACCTTTATTCTCTGTTGGTGGGAGCGTAAAATGGTGCAACCACTATGGAAGGCTGTATGGTGCATTCTCAAAAAGTTGCAAATAAAAATACCATTTGAGGATGTTCCTCACTCCTTTATTGCCGCTGTCTGTGTGAACTCCCTTTGTGCTCGGTATCCTGTGCACACACCTTTGGAGGGAGGGCGCCATGGGTCTGGTTTCCAATTCCGGCATACGAGTGGAATGGATCGCAGCAGTTACTGTGGCCGCTGAGACAGCTGCAATTGGTTACCTAGCTTACAAAAAATTTTATGTCAAAGATCATTGCCACAAGGCCATGGTAAATCTTCACATCCAGAAAGACAACCCCAAAGTAGTTCATGCTTTTGACATGGAGGATTTGGGGGATAAAGCTGTGTACTGCCATTGCTGGAGATCCAAAAAGTTCCCTTTCTGTGATGGGGCACATATAAAACACAATGAAGAGACTGGAGACAATGTGGGACCTCTGATCATCAAGAAAAAAGAAGCTTAAGGACATTTTTGA